ATATCATGGCTTGTGTCAGGCGCACCTTAGTCCTCAAGGAGATATCCTTGCTCCTCAGCACTTGAAACAGTTCCTTCGCAGTTGACTTTCCCACTGCTACACGTCGTCTAATGTCCTGACTGACCACCAGGGAATCCCAAGGAGGGCTTGGTATGAGGCAGATCCAGCTTCACAGTAGAGGTTTTTTTTTTTTTTTTTTTCCCCCAAATCTCTAGGGAAGTAGATTGCCCAGGCTTCCTTCCAGGGAGTGGCTGGTAGGTTTGAACCACTGCCTTCTTGTTAGCAGTCAAATAAATGTCTTAGGCACTATGCCACCAGGGCTCCCGTGTATTTTACTAGGTTTTCTGAATTTACCTACATGAAATGCTGATAGTCTTTTTATATATAAGTGAGAATGATGTACTCTGATGTTTGTATATATGTTTTATATGTAAATTAGCCTTTTGCTACATCTTTTTTAAAGTTTTGAATGATGTTCAGTGTTTATTTGAATAATGTTGATAGAGGTAGAAAATGTACTTTTAAACTAAACAATATTTGAAGACTAGCCTACTTTTTAAAAAAGCCTAACCAAAAAATATACTAAAATCTTCACGTGTACCTGACTGTTAATTTCTGAACATTCATAATTATTTACATACTTGATTTTCAGATGTAAAAAGTTTCAATTATATTTCATAACATGGAAGGGAAAGAAATGTCATGTCACATATCTATCTTTTTCACATAGATATTTGAATTGATACTAACCTTTAAAATATTTAGTTGAATTATTTATTGCTTCATTTAAAAACTTACTGTGTGAGAAATATAAGAGCATTAAACCTGGTCATTTACTCATTTTTTCCACATAAGCCTTGAGCTGTTGTTTTTTTATTATTTTTAATTTGCATATGTTGGCATTAGGTTTCACGTTTTTAAAAATCTAGCCCTGAGCCTTTATATAAGGCTATTATTTTGGAGGAAAAATAGGATATCTGAACAATAATACCGTTTGGCTAGAGAAAGGAATTTTAAAAGATTTGTATTTGTTAGAGTAGATTTCAAGAGAAGATTTTTTTTTTTTTTGGATATACTGGACATTATGGGAGTTTCTATTTTGTAGTGTTAATAGCAATTTTACTAAGTAGTAAAAAGAATTCAAATTCTTATTTCCTTTTGCTACTCCTCTCTTTTTTTAAGAGATAGCCAACAGTGCCACCATCAGAACAGAGAGGTTTTTCCTCATCGTGTTTGGTTATTTATTTGGGGAAAAAAAAAAAAGAAAAAAAACTTAGTATTGAGTAGTGATTGAAAAACCATGTATGATTGCACAAACACTTAAAAAATATTGGGAGATACTAATGACATAATGAAATTGCCTTTTGATTTACTTTATTGACCAAATGATATTCATAAAATTGTTCTTCAAATGCCTATTACTAATTTGGATACTTATGTTTTCCCAGGTCAGTCCATCTATATAGCATTATATTGATGTTAGTTTATTGTCATCATCTTTAATTTGTTGTCAAAGAAGGAATCTCAAAGAATATAAAAACAAAAACTATTTTGGTCTTATAACATCTTTCATACTGTACATTTTGAGGGCAATCTTTTCCTTTATATTTTATTTACTTTTTTGATAAAGGAATTTTAAAAATAAACTTCTCAGTTAATTATAATTATGATGATTTCAGAATTAAAGCATAAAATTTTTCTTTCATGGTCTGATACTTACATGATATGGTATATTTATCTTTGAATGAAAAGAAACCTGGTCCCCATCTTCCTGTTGACATCAAACAATCCTCTGATATGCTAATCCAGCATCGGGGAGAACACATATAGAGGCTTTATTTGGACTCATTCCAAGTTGGAAAAATACTATGTATAAAGAACTGATTTTGCAGTATTGCCCTCATCGAATGAAAACTGATGTTGACATAGGTCTCCAATTAAAAAGACTGAATATTGAAACATCATATGGGAGGTTTTCAACATCTTATAATACCCTGATTTGCTACTTAATTACCTGGTCATCTAATTGTTATTTGTTCTTTGGGATGTAATGATAATGGTGTAATAGCCATTGAAATTACTAATATGTTCATTTCCATAGTATGTTTTATAATAAAGATTAACCTAAGGTTATTAGCTTTTCCTTAAAGATTTATCCTTTGGTATAGTGAGTGTTTATGAGACAGTAGGTAAAATCTTTTACTAAATATGAAGTGGGACTATCAGCAGATTTCCTTGTACTGTTTTTCCTTCCAGTCTTCCCTCAACTGATCACAGAGGTAATAATCAACAGAAGTAGCTGTTTGGGAACGGTCTGAAATGTAATTTCTCCATCTATAATAAATCAAATTATCTGGACTTCTGAAAATGTCAAATTTCCAGATAAAATACATTTATTACACATAATTAAATGTGGATAACTACATCTTCTTTTAAAAAAATACAGATAATTTTTTGAAAACATGTTCAAGTGTAGTCTTCTGGTTGCTCATTTATAAACATTAAGTAGGAAATTGAATTTGTGTGTTTGAAAAATAATTTTGTATTATAAATCTTTTTAAGTCTTACGAAGCAATTGTGAGCTTTGGTCTTGGATGAGTTTATTATTAGTGTAGTCTTCTAGCAAACTTAATGTACAAAATAGACATAAATATGTCTGGGCTTTTTAGTTACCTTAGTGAATGCCCTCACGCATGATGATGTACTCTTTCCTAACTAGGTTAGTGAGTCTCTCAGTTTTTTGCCCTGCCCTCCTATAGTATTTTTTGTCCATGAAATGTGGTTTCATTCATTCAAAGAAAAGTGCAACTTTGACTTTTCATGTGCAGGGGGAATATTCATGAAAACTTTCACATGAATCTGTTAATTTTTAATAAATTAAGTGAAATTTAAAATGCACCAGGGTGATTTGATATTTAAAGGAATTCTATAGTGAAAAATCTTCTTTCAGGAGGAGAAATGAACATAATTACCTTCTGGTTTCTAGACTATTTTATTATGGATTTTCCTAAAATGAAATTTGACATTTTTCCTTTAGTATAAGAAGTTATTTTGTGTAGATGTCAATTTTTTGAAATGGGTGGATTTCATGAAGATGTAGAGTTAAATGATAAAACTATTGGAATCCCTCAGTATGTAAAATCACATGCTGTTTAGTTGGCTGTAGGTAGATAAATGTAGATGTTTTTCTGACTACAACTTTTTGCATGTAAGAATCCAGTCTTAAGAAATGTTAGTTATTATCATTTTTATTTTTAATTTTATGAAAAAGCATTTTAAGAAACAAAAGAGGTTAATTCCTGAAAGAACAGTTTGGAAGTACTTTGTTCAGCTCTGCAGTGCGTTGGAACATATGCATTCTCGTCGAGTCATGCATAGAGGTAAGAAAAAATCATGAATAACTTTTAATATTGTCTTAAATGATGCAAGATACTAGACAATTTAAAAATAAATGTATAGTATCTTTGTGTAGTATCATGCTTTCTCAGATAATTTATTTCCAAACTATAATTTTACTGGAATGATAAAGCTTTGAATAAAGCTCTACTTGGTTTTAAAAAAGAATGAAAATTAGTCATTTTTCTGCTTGAGTGTTCTGAGCACCTTATTGGTTATGCTAATAAAGAAATAAAAAGTAGATGGCAGGAAAGCATTTGAAAATGCGTAAGGAGGAGTTTGTTTTTTCTTCTAAATCAAAGTGCATATTTGGACCACTTATATTTATACTCTTCAGCATTAGCTCTTAATATATTCTTGATTATCAGTCAGATGTTAAGGTTACAATACTAAGGAATTAGTCCACTGATTTTGGGGTGCAGAAAATGTCAGTATACTTTATTTAAGCAATTAGGGTTTCTGAAGTCATCTAAATGAATAATTATATACATAATAGTATTAAATTATTATCTAATATTTCATGTAAATATATCAAGAAATGAATTCTTAGTAAGACGTTTTATTTAAAATTTATATGAAAAGGACACACATGTATTTTGTGCTTCAAATTTCATAACAGGTTGTCTGAAAATGGAAAATGCCTTTTAAATGAAAATAATAGCAGTCTTCCTTACACTGCTTTGATGATTATCTATCAGAGGACTGAGATTACAGAACTGTTAGAATATATTAGAATTACTCAAAATAAAGTAATCAGTTTAAAATTCAAGCGTACTTTCATTTTTAAGGTACATTTTAAATTACACCAGGAAAAGTGGTTTTTAATCCCTTTATAAAGTACCTAAATTGATACCATGTTTCACCTGATCCCTCTGTTTTTCACAGATATAAAGCCAGCTAATGTGTTCATTACAGCCACTGGAGTGGTAAAACTTGGAGATTTGGGGCTTGGCCGATTTTTCAGCTCCAAAACCACAGCTGCACATTCTTTAGGTAAGAGATATGCTGTCATTTCATTCAGGTTTTTTGGTTTTTGTTTGCTTGTGGTTAAGTAGATAAGGGATGTACGGATAATATGACTTCTCTTATATTCTAAATAACTCAATTCCTGAGCAGATACCTACAACTATCTATTGGGTATAATGTATCCATATCACATGACAATTGGGTACTTCTGTTAATAGACCTCAGGCAGGCACTAAGTTTTTTGTTTTTTTTTTAATGCTGATAAACCTAATCTTAACTGTTACCAAAGAACATTGTTTCTATTATACATTTACTAAAAAGTAAGATAAGGAGCTGTGGTGGTGCAGTGCCAAAGGCATTTGACTGCTAATCAGGAAGCTGGTGGTTCAAACTCAACAGCCACTCCACAGAAGGAAAACAGGGCAATCTACTTCTGTAAAGATGTACCACCTCAGAAACCTAATGGGGATTGCTATGAGTTGGAATTGACTCGATGGTAGTGAGGGTTTTTTTTAGTAAAAAGCAAGATAATATGATGAATAAACAGTTTCAAATTAGAAGACTTCACCTGACCATTTAAAAATACTGTGGTACTTTATTTGTTATAACAACATATATAGTAGTGATTACTACACAGGGAAAACCTAAAGACGATCTATAGCTAGTGAGGAAATATTTTCCCTAAATTATAAAGAAAATATCAGTAGTGTATTCATTGCATTTTTTTAGTTGCATAACTCAAATTATAGTGATAGAGCTTCTCCTAAAATTTTTGAAATCATATTTTCTCCTTTAAATATAACAACTTACATAAAATGATGACAATCAGAATAAAATAAGAATTAAGATTAAAAGAAATTTCCTTTAATTTAATGATGTCTCATCTTTGATCATATTTAGTGTCATAATTTCATTGAAAGCCACTGAAATTCAGACAAATTTATTGTTTTTCATTATGAAATAGAAAACTTTTAAATGGCCTAATGAGGTATAGACAAATTCTATAAATAATAAAATAGTGAAAAAAGCATCTGAATTAGTTGTCTAGGATTTTTTCTTTTTAAATCTTCTGGCTTTGTTACTAAGATTCTTTGTGGTCTTGAACCACTTATTTAAAACAGTATCTTACACATACTAGGTACCCATTCAGTATTGGTTGAACAGTAAAATAATAGATTCTGGTTTAAAGAATGGTAAAGAGTGGTAGAAAGATGATCTTTTATAGGATCTCAATTTTGTCAAGTGCTTTGAAAACATAAAATTTCACACTGATGGCAAATACATTGTTGTTTGTTTCTATATAAGAAGATTTGATGTGAGATTCCATAAGAACAACTAATGCAGAAATTTAGGTAGCACTTTAATAAAGCTTTATTTGGGAAGTTACAACTCTTAACAATGCAAACAATGGAGAAATCCTATAAAGAAAACCTTGGAGTGTTCTAAGCAGTGACATTTATCGCTAGTATATGTAACATGTTTCTGCTTTATGTTAACCACTTGAACAGAATATCTTAACAGCATTCTATCATTAATGTCCTTTAAAACGGTAGGTTATGATTGCATACACACATAGTCAAGTACACATGCCCACACCCACATATGTGTATTGTTTAAATACTGCTTTGTACACTGTTACCTTGAGCCCTAAGGATCAAACATATTATTGGAAGCCCGGACCTTGGTAGTTTTCTAAATGAAATTCTTTAGCCCATCTCACACTTCTCTCACTAAAAGTTTCGAACAGGGTTTATAAGCATACGCATCTCCACTTTTAGGTAATGTGTTAGTCCAAAATATGTGATATAAAAAATAAAAATAATTTTCATAAGTCAATTTCATTAAGAATTTCTAATAGTAGGCTTTATGAAAATCACTTTACTTACGGACATATAGTATAAATTATCCATGGTGATGCCTATCATTAGTGTGCATTCTAAGACACACCTTCTACTTCTGTGAGAAAGTAGAAATGTGACAGTTTCTTTGATGGGTGAATCAACAGAAAAATAATTTATTTCACGAGTACATTTTGTTTTCCATATCATTTCGAGGAGAGAAAACTGAAAAAATGTTACCCTTGTGTGTCTTCTCTGCAGCAAAGATTTTGACAATTTGAAATTAAACTTCTCTAAAGCAAAGTGCATTAAACACTGAGGATTCAAGTTTGAACTCTAGCCTACTCATGCTATGTGGACCATTAAAAATCTTATTTAGAAGGGTCAGGAAAAAAAAAGGAAGAATCTCGATACAGACTTAATAAGTTGACCCTAATTTTCATTGTTAGAGAGTAATTACTGATCTGAGTTACTGTCATATGTTTATTTTTAAGAGAAAATTTTAAAGATTGCCTCTGAGAGTTGATTCTGAAAACACGGCTACTGATACAAATACATTTTATAGAAGATAACCTACAGAACTATAGGTTTTACTGTATGTTGCTTTGTTTTCTTTTTTTTTGTTGTTGTTGAGAATAAAATCTGTAAGATATCATTTATCTACAAAGTGAGTCTAAAGTTTAGTGAAACTACAAATGAGATGCCCCAAGTGTTTGTGGATCATCAATATAAATTTATAGTAAATGAAGTCTGTACTGCAACTAAATTTCACTTAACTTTGTAAAGGAGGTATTTTTGGGACTTTAAGTCAAAAGACAAAAAGTAACATCTGGTTACATTTATTTGTTTTTTCTAAAATGCATTTTGTTTGTTTCAGCTTATTTTGAATAAGCATTTCCAAAAGTTTTTTTTTTTTTTTTTTAGTTTTATCTGACTACTCATATAAAATTAGCAAGTCTGACTTTTTCAGTTGCCTGTTCATTTCACATATCTTATTTGTTCCATGAATCATCATTTGATTCCATGATAACAAACCAACATACAACATACAATAAAACCTGTAATTCTCTATATGGTCTCCATAAGCAAAATAAAATTATATAGATGGCCTTATTTTAAATCTATTTTCAGAACTGATTCTTAAAAGCAATTTGAAAATTTGCTCTTAAAAATATATGAAAATAACAAGGAATGGTAATAATTCTTTCAATACAAAGGTTAAAAGCTGAAAACACTAAATGTAATGCTGCTGAACATTCCAACCACGTTAGAATCCTCAAAATTGAAGAAAAAAGAACCTCAGGTCTCTACTTTTTTCCCTGCCACCAATACCTACATAGTCTCACAATATCTTTACCTTCTATTCATTCTTCCATAACTCATAATTACTTCGTATTTAGTGCAGGAAAATATGCTCCTCAGTTTTTAATATTATTATTTTGTCCTCGTTCCATATATTCCACTAGAATTACCTTCAAAAAAGATGTTATCTGATTTTGTTACTTTTCTCAAAAACCTTCAATGGTTCTCTGTTGTGTAAAGAATGTCATGCAAAGTCTTTGAGCTTCAGGGCTCTCTAGTATTTGGTGTTCCTCTAATTTTGCACACTCATCAGTGACTACATTTCTTCATGTGCCAGCCATCTTTTTCTTCTTTCATTCTGAACTTGAGAAATAGCATAACATGTCGGAGAGGATGAAGGATTTGCATTCCTATTGCTCTATATGATCTGATCAAGCCATTTCTTAATTTTTCTCAGGCTTAATTTCTGGATTGATAAAAATTCAAATGTGGGTAATAACTCCTAACCAGTCCCTAACCAAATAATATAATAAATGAAGAAGTGATTTCTAAGCACTATAATAAACTCTGTGAATATTAAGTTGGTTATGTGAAGATGATGATGGTGGTGGTTATGGTGAAGATGCAGGAAAAAAAGAGGGGAGAAAAGGAGTTCTATATGTGAATTATTATGTAGTCTATTTACTTTCTAAAAATATCTTAATTAACAAAGTAAAAAAAAATTAGTACCTATGTTTTGCAGGTACTATTCTTGTTGTTGTTATGTGCTGTCAAGTCAGCTCCATCTCGTAGCTACCCTGTGTACAACAGAACAAAATACTGCCCAGTCATGCAGCATCCACATAATCCTTGCTATGCTTGAGCCCATCATTGCATCCACTGTGTGTGTCAGTCCATCTCTTTGAGGGTCTTCTCCTTTTTTGCTGACCCTCTGCTTTACTAAGCATGACAGAAGTTTGGTATTCTTCTCCAGGGAATGGTCTCTTCTGACAACATGACCAAAATAGATGAGACAAAGTCTAACCATCCTCACTTCCAAGGAGCATTCTGTCTGCACTTCCTCCAGGACAGATTTGTTCATTCTTCAGGCAGTCCATGCTATATTCAGTATTCTTTACCAGCACCATAATTCAAAAGCATCAACTCTTCTTCAGTCTTCCATATTCATTTTCCAGTTTTCATGCATATAACTCAATTGAAAATACCATGGTTTGGGTTAGGTGTACCTTAGTCTTCAAAATGCTATCTTGGCTCTTTAATACTTTAAAAGAGGTCTTTTGCAACAGATTTGCCCAATGCAGTAAGTCATTTAATTTCTTGACTGCTGCTTCCATGGGCGTTGATGTGGATCCAAGTAAAGCGAAGTCCTTGGCAACTTCGGGAGCTCTGGTGGCATAGTGCCTAAGGCATTTGACTGCTAACCAGAAGGCTGGTGGTTCAAACCCACCAGCCACTCCTCGGAAGGAAGGTTGGGC